AACCGCTCACAATGATCTACCTATAACCCCCTCCCAGGGGATTGGACAATAGAAAAGTGGGTAAAGGGGGACACTGGTCAGTGTAAGACATGAAAAAATAATAATTTACAAATTATCAAGGGTTCATGAGGAAGGGAGGAGGAAAAATGAGAAGCTGATATCAAGGGTTCAAGTAGAAAGAAAATGTTTTGGAAATGATGATGGCAACAAATGTACAAATGTACTTGACACAATGGATGGATGTATAGATTGTGATAAGAGCTGTATGAGTCCCCAATAAAATGATAAAAAATTAAATTATTTCTTTAAAAAAAAGAAAGAAGGAGGAATAGAAACAGCAAACACAAGAAGTGGTACTGTATAAGTGATGGGGTAAATATGTGAGTATTGCAATTAATGAGGTAAAATAAAATAATGTGAATTGTTAAATGGGGGAAACATATTGCCCCTAGAATCCCTCAATATTTCTGCATGAGGTTTGAATCAGTCCTTTTAGCCTGAAATATGCTGAGCATGTTCTTTCCTTGTGGTTTTCTAACTCTGGTTTTTGTCCACTTCATTTTAATGTTTTACTGTGTCTTCTTGAGCTACCTTTTGATATTTTCGGTTCAGCTTTTACTGTATCATTCAGTTGTTATCATTCACACAGTTGAGTGCTTTGGCACAGTCACTGACATTGGCAATAACATCACTTGTTCCATGTCCTCTTCTAAATTAAGCCTGGACCTCTGGCAGCTCCCTCTCAAGGTACTGCTGCAACTATTGGATGATCTTCAGCAAAAAATTACTTGTATGTAGTATCAGTGATATTGTTCTATAGTTTGAGCATTCTGTTGGGTCACCTTTCCTCGGAATGGGTACAAATATGGATCTCTTCCAGTCAGTTGGCCAAGTAGCTGTCTTCCCAATTTCCTGGCATAGATGAGTGAGTTGAAACATTTCTGTTGGTATTAAATAAATTGCTGGATCTTTGTTTTTGGCTAATGCTTTCAGTGTAGCTTGAACTTCTTCCTTCAGCACCATTGGTTCTTGATCATATGCCACCTTCTGAAATGGCACAATGTCAACTAGTTCTTTTTGGTACAGTGACTCTGTATTTTCTCTATCTTCTTTTGATGCTTCTGCATCATTCAATATTTTGCCTATGGAATCTATCAATTCTGCAACTCGAGGCTTGAACTTTTTTCTTGAGTTCTTTTAGTTTAAGACATGCTGAGCACATACTTAGAAGTGGCCAATATAGTCAAAAAAGACTGCTGGAGAGCAAATAAATTGTGTTGGGTAAATTAGAACCAGTTCAAAACTCCACTAACTGACTACTTAACTTTCTGACTATTGACAGACTTTGCTTTTTTCCCACTGTCGTAGAATAAAATCCAGAAATCTTAGCATGAAACATATAGTACCTTCTTCATCTAGCCCTTGCCTATTTTTCTAGCCACATTGCTGTTGCTGCCTGACAGTCTCCAATCATAGAGAACCATGAGCACATTTCTGAAACCGAAGTCTATTTTCTCAGTTGCATGACTACTTCCTACTATCTTTTAATGATGTTTGAATATTTCCTCTTCCAGGATGTATGGGTAGCAGGATTATGTGTAATTTGAATTTATCTATTTGTGCTTATTAGCATTCAGAACTCTGTCTACAGTAGGCATAAATACTTTTTGGAGTGCATATATAAAGAAAATTGTCATTCAAGTAAATCGAGCAAATGAAACAAGGGGAAAGACCACTATACATGTTTACTCTACAGTTTCCCTCGGCAGTAATCCCAGGGAGTCATTCCAGGATAAAAGTTTAATTTCAAACATAAAATTATCTTTTTTCTTCATTGAATTCATAAAGATTACAAAAAAGGCAGTTTTTCTAGAAGGGAAGTCTTATTTACTATTGGTATACATTGGTAATCTCTTTTCAGGGCTATTTGTTAATAAGCATCAAAAGAGGGGGACAGGGAAGCTACTTTACCTAGGAATTTATTCTACAGAAATTATTGGCACAAGGATACAATTATACACACACACACACACACACACACACACAGGAATGACTATATAACTTGTTAAGGGCCCAGTACAAAATGAAAATGTGGGGTCCTTTCTTTAAAAAGCAGGGGAAAAGCATCATTAAGGTACTAAAATATAAAACACTTCCTTTTTCTTTCTTGACCTGCTACCGTGGTTTTCTAATCTGCTATTTAAAATAACACTCCACTAAGCAGTAATATCTCCTCCAGCAAGTGCAGATCTCTTACAATTGCTTTGCTTTGGGACCTGTTCTGTAACTCACTTAATGAGTTGAGGCACAAAACGCACTGACACCTAGGCCCTGCTGGGAATATTGGGTGGCAGTATGGCTGGGCTGGGCAGGCTGGGACACCAGGGCTGGGGAGTAAGCAAAGCAGAAACCATTCTGTAGAGGTGGGAAAGAGGCAAGAAGACCCAGCACAAATTATGAGCCCTTTAGAGCAAGCCTCTAAGTTTTTGACGTACATACATTATTCCATCAAAATTACAAAACATAAATTTAAGATAAAATTAAGAGTTTCCAGATAGTGACTGAAGAGCATTAAATCCTAAGGCCTTTCTGAATGCATGGGTCTGAATAAATGTACTAGTGGTAGATTCATGAAGCCAGCTCTGCATATAAGTCTATTCATACAGAGTTGATTGTAGTAGAAAAAACTGGGTTAAATCAAATTGTTTATCTGTAAGTGATCAGATGAATAAATTATGCTGGAACCATACAATTAAAAACCTATAACCATTTTAAAAAGGCAGATCTATTAATATGAACATAGATAGCTAGTTATCCAACACATATGGGCAAAGAAAGTTTCAGAATATGTCTGTCACGATTCCATTAAAACATTATGTATATGTCATACAAAGGTGCAGGGGCGGTGAATTATTTAATGTAGCCCTTCTAGCCAAAGTCTTTAACTGTCACCAAATGACCTTTATCTGCATGGGTCTGGTAAGAAGATGGGAAAGATACTGATGGTTCACCTATGAGAATTGCAGATAGGATTCTTTGTAATGCCATCCTTGTTGTGTACAAAATAGCCCTCTGAGAAGCAGAAGTGGGGATCTCATTACCAGAAAAATCCAGGAGTGGAGCGTGTCCTCTGGACTCGAGATCCCTGCGCAATGAACCTCCTAGATCCAGAAGACACCTATAATATCAAAGTAGCAGCAGCAGAACCAGGAACCAGAGCACAGAACAGAGTGATGAGCTTCCCAGCCTACAGAACAAGTAAAGCTGAGTGCTCTTATGCAGGAGTCTGGCTTGTGTAGTGGGTTCTTCTGGACATTTAATTGGGGAAGTTGGGCTTGCTGGCTCATGGAGGTGGCGCTGAGTGTCTTTGGGCTTAGACTTACTGGAGTGTGCGGTGCCTCTGGGCACTTAATTCAGAGAGCTGGGTTTGCTGACGCAGAGTGCTTGGACGGAATGCCTTCAGCTTGAGGCTGATAGTGAAGTGGCATGCCCTTTGAGCAGTTATTAGCAGACCTAAAAGAATTTTGCAATATATCCTGATAAATAGCTGTAACATATCCTGGTCAACCCTGAGCATTTCTCACTGGCATTACAACTTGTCAACTTCCTCAATAAACCCTTGAATCAAGCATTTTGTCTGTGAGTTTTGTGTAGCCATTGCAATGGATATTAGAACCTAGAGAGGTAAAATAGAGAACATTAATTAAGATATTAAAAAATGTAAATAATATTACATACATAATCCTGTAATTATAAAAAATAATCTATGAGTGGATACATAGGCAGACATGTAAGCTGAACTGGTGTGGGTAGGCAAACAAGACTATACCTACAAGCATATATAGGTTAGGCAGAGAGTATGCGTACGTGTTTTTGTACATGCTGTAAATATACCCATGTATACAGTAAACAGAGGGCAAAGTGATGAAAACTTCTTAGATATAACCAAATACCTTGAAGGGATGAGTCACTGGGCTTGAGAGCATAGGACTATAATCTCAGGGGACTGCTAAGTCAATTGGCATCACATAGTTCACAAAGACAATGCTCTACATCTTACTATGGTGTGTAACGGCTAGGGTCTTCAAAGCTAGTGGTGGCCATATAAGATGCAATTATTGGTCTCCTCATCCTGAGCAAAGAAGAGTAAAGAAAATAAAAGACTTAAGGAAACAACAAGCACAAAGGGCTAACAGACCACATGAAATAACCTCCATTACCCTGGTATCAGAACTGGATGATGCCTGGCTACAATTACTGACTGCTCTGATCAGGACCATAGAAGGTCCTGGACAGAATGTGAGAAAAATGTAGAACAAAATTCACAACCATAGAAAACAGCCTTACTGGCTTGATAGACCACTTATACATTCTTCAGACTGGAAACTGAACTCACCTTCAGGGATCACTGGGCAGCTGAACAATAGACAGGCCTATAAAATGAATCTTAATATTAAGGAGGAGTGCACTACTCATCAGAACAATTAACTATGGGAGACCCGAAAGGCAACATTTGGCCCGAAACAGAGTTCAAGAGGCAGGATGTATTTGAACTGGATCATGACAAGGGGAAGCCAGAGAAGAACTGGCAAGAATGTGCTTACATTAGAGAATTGTGACTAATGTCACAAAACAAAATCAGTACCAACTGCTGAGTGAAAATGACTTTGCTCTGTAAACTTTCATCAAAACCACAATGAAAAAACAATGTGTGTATATGTGAGAGTAAGTGTGCATCTGTAAATATATATAAAAGAATGTTTAAAAGTGACCAGGGAAGGAAGAAATTTTTACCTTTTATACATGGAATATATTGATTTTTACTATTAACATATTGTTTCTGAAAAAAAACATTAAACAAACCACCTCTAATACCTAGAAACATCTGTCTGAACTGCAGTAAAATCTGCCACCTTCATTTCAACTTAAGAATACAAAAAAAAATCTCTGCGCCTGTAAAAGACTATCATCAGCATTCTTACCAGTCTTCGAATTCTTACCGTCATTGCTGAATTCCTCAACAGGGGATGCTGATTCCGTGTGCTCCGGGACTCCATTTATGATCTCAACAACCTGAAGCCTCCTGAGTCTGACGAGGTCAGTGGTTTTCAAGCCTTCCTCCAATTGTTTGACCACCTCTTTTCCAGGCTGGGACGTCAGAACAGTTATCTGGAAATAAACCCCAGCATCAATGTGTCTCTTCTCCCTGACACAGTGAGGACGATAGCAGGTTACATCTAGAGGACATGGCAGAAATCTGTGGTAATGGCTACTGTGTGTACTGCAAACAGGTAGAGAGGACTTATACATCGAATTTCATTGACCGCATTCTGGTAGGGCAGGTCTGGTGGTCATCTTAGAACTCTTCTAACCAGACTAAGCCAGTCCCAGGAAGCAATCAGGGAAAGGCCATCCCGTTGTGTGTGATGGCTTTAAGCACTGGCAGCAGCTCTTCCCCTGAACACGCTTTGATTTGATGAGGAAACAAAAGAGACAGGATCCTTGAATTCTATCCACTTAATGTGTACATATTAGACGGTTTCTTTCCCGTGGTGGGGCTCTGGGGTCATTTCCTCAGACTGATGTCTCTCTTGGCTAAGCCTGGGTCCACTTGAACTATTTCTCTTGGTTCTAAAATGTATCTACCTTTGACATATACATGAGGAGTCCAAAAAGTTCCTGGAAAATGGGATTAAAGATTAAAAAGGTAGAAAATGGTTTTGTCAACATAAGCTCCATCAAATTCAAGGTACTTTTGTAGGTGAAGATTCTAGACATTTAGTCCATTCCCTAAGAAATGGGAGGTCCTTGTCAATGCAGTCTTTTTCTTTTTTATATTAACTGTGTGCCCTTTAAAGTTAAAAAAAAAATTTTTTTTTTAAGATTAGGAAACAAACAAACACGATTAGGAAACAAAAAGAAGCCAGAAGGAGCATATCAGGATGGTAAGGTGCAGGCCTAGTGATTTTTCGTAGGAACTTTTTTAGAATTGCCCTTGTTTGATGAGCGGGATGAGCAGAATCTCTGTTGTGCTGGTTTTTCAGTGAAGGTTTCCCTGATGTTTTTCTGCTAATGCTCCTGCTAACTTTCTTACAACAGGTGTTCATAAGCAGATGTTAGAATTCTCTGGCTCTCCAGAGAGTCAATAAGCAAAATTCCTTGAGCATCCTTGTGGGAAACTAACACTGATGGAAATATGATGAGGACTATATTCCCTAACTTATAACAGAGGAAATTGGGAAAGCTGGTATTTCATGGTAGGAAAGCCTCCACTTTGGTAAGTTAAAGTCCAAGTACATTATCCTGCTTTAAATGTCATTCCCACAGATTCTCTCTCCCCCTAACAGCTCTGCTGCCTTAAAGTGAGCGCATGGTCGATTATAGCACCCTATACAAGCAGACATTGTCTTTCTGCTCTCTCATCCAACCCCTCTTGCACCTTCCCCCAATGCAGGTATTAGGTTTCCTCACCTGTGAGCTCAGGGACTTTAATGTAAATACCGCCCACCTTGTGACACATGTAACTACTGAATATGCATGTCATATGGCTACCTATAAATGTCCCAAGATAGATGTTTTCTCTCACTTCTCCCAGTTCCGCGTGGTCCATCAAGAGGAGCTGAGGTGAGCATGCTACCAAAAAATGTGTCTGACTCCTTTATTGTATTCGCTCTCCTATCTTTCTTAACCTCTATTGACTTTACTATAATCTGTAAATGTTATCACAGTATATTTGCGCCTTCTGGCCCTTCAGTTGTTGGGGGCTGGTTTCCTCTGACACATGCCCCCAAAAGTATTGTCATGATCTTTGCTCTTGACAGATCTGCTACTGCTTTGACTGGGCCACTTACACCTCTGGATAGCCATTGCTTTGATTGTGCTGTGTCCTCAGGATCATACTGGTAAAAGCCACGTTTCATCTTCTGTTTTAATTCTTCAGAAAAATGCTTCAGAAGATCGATCCCGTTTGTTTAACATTTCCATAGAGTTCTTCTATCTGCAACTGATCAGGGTGCAACAGTTTTATCATCTACCAAACAGAATGTTTGCCTAATTTTAATTTTCCAGTTAGAATTGTGTAAACGGAATCAATTGATATGTCTAGTACTAGCTGTTGTTTCTGCTGTTAATTGTAGGCCCTCTTTAATGAAGGCATGGGTAAGATTGTTTCCTTGAGAATTGATGGGAGTAGTTTGCCCCGTGGTCTTCATCTTTAAGAGCATGCCATCCTTTCTTAAAATGAGTTATCTGTTTGTACATTGCTGATTTCTTTGGCAGCACTGTCTCCATAAGTGCTTTATAAAGCATTAATGATTTCATCAGGATTCCACCAAGGCTTTACCATAAATTTGATGTTTGCTCTTGCTTCTATTTTAGCAGAATTCATGTTGCTATGATAGGGTTTTTTTTTTCTTTTCCAGATGTCTCACCCTTTTTAGTACCTCAAATTTGATCCTGTTCAGATACATTATAACAAGTTACGATGAGTCTATTTCGGTGCAAAACCAATTTGAAATCCATGTACAGTTTCTGCATAATACACGTGAACTTTTTTTTCTTCCTGAACCTTTGAAGACCCATTGCACATTTGACCTGATGGCATACTGTGGTATTTGTATATGACTTGAATATTTTATTATGTTGGAATGAACATATTGCATGTTTCTACCAGCAGTTTTATCTTAGACTTTGAAGCTCTGGAAGGCAAATACTAAGTATATAAAATTCCTTTTGTACATAGTTCTTAATTGATGAAGGATGCAGATGAAAGCATATATATATTCACAACCATTTTATTGGGAGTTAAAACAGATATCCTGTCATTCCATAGTTCAATGACATCAAGCAGTATTGTACAATCGCTACCACAATCAGTTTCAAACATTCTTTTCCTTCCTGAACTCCTTGACATCAACTCCCTTCTATGTCCCCCTCCCCACTGTACCCCCTCCAAAAACCCTTATTTTATTTGCTATCCCTATAAGTTCAACAATCCTGGGTTTCATATACTGAAAAACAGAAAAATACATAACAAAAATTCAAGAGAGTGAGATAAGCCCCAATATGAACAAACAAAATACAGAAAATGTTAAAAACCAGATCAGGCCTACTGTACATCAGAGGGGAGAACAACTAACAAGATTTTAACTGTTCAAGACAGGTTTAACTTTTTGATTTTATGTCCCCTCTCCAATGCACTCCCTTTAGTAACCACTTTCCTTCCATCCCTCTATTATGGATAGAGGGAAATCACGGGATGCTTATTTTCTATGCAATTCCCACAAATGTATCTTGGGCTCCCACTGTCATTCACAGCCTTCTGCAACCGATTCTCACTATTTAGCCTCTGATACTATTCCCTCCTTCAACTTCAGATGATATGATTTACAATCTTTTGGTGATTGATGTTGGTGTCCTTCTTTCATGTGGATTTATTTGGCATCTCATTTATATGGCTGCTTGTTTGGAAACCAGATGCTATTTTATCTGATAGCCGGGCACCATCTAATTTCTTCATCACATTTTGCTATAGCACCCATATCTTCTGTGTTCCTTTCCTGAGGGTGAGTGCCAAGCAGGGCCGAAAACATAGATATTTTAAACTAATCTATTTGATACTTAAGTTAACCCAAGACTGAAAGTCTTTTAACTTAACACTCATTCATAGGCAGTCATGATTTACTTACATTTTTAAAAGCTTTGCTTGTTTAAATCTTTAAAAAGATTTAAACAAATTTTACAGCAAATTCTACATTTGTACATTTGCTAATCCAAAGCAAATGTACTCAATTTGATACTGTAAAATTACAAATTTTGATTTATGTAACCATAATTCTCTTATACAAGACACTAATGGTCATTTTATGTTAGAAAACTATGTGCTATGTAATAGTAATAAAATATTGGATTTTACACAAATAATGTGCATTTATATGTATTTTTGCAAATTGCAACCCACTTATGCCTTTGTTTTCTGTGTGCTATGTGAGTGTTATGTGAGTGTGCATGCAATTTACATGGGTGTGTTATTTGTGGGACTATGGTATATTTATAATTTTTAAAGCTTATAGTTATGCCTTAAGCTATAACTAAACTTTAAAAGTAGCTTAACTGGTTTCACACAACTGTATCTAGTTGATAGGGTTCACGGAAACACTTGAAATAGATTCAGAAAATAATACGACTGATGCATTGTTCAATCGTGTTCACAGCCACTGCCTTTCCCTCCGTCGCTCTCTAGTGCCAGCAGCCACCTCTAGCTCACCAAACTCCAGCTGAAAGAGATGGTGGGTGCGAAAATGTCGCTACCATGGCTGTCCCGTGCAAAGCCTGCAATTCAACCTGTGGAAAAGCACTCTGGAAGCAGCTGCTTACAAAATCCGCTTGTAAGAGTGCGCCCTCTACTGGAGGGGGTTCCGGGAAGAAACAAACCTCAGTTACAGGCCTCCTACGTCAGTAAATTAGGCATCTTCGAAGTCCATCATCTTCTGGCTTGAAAACTTCCCTTTCAGCGTCTGCGGTGAGAAATTGCTCAGAACTTCAAAACTGATCTGTGCATCTGGAGCGCAGCTATTAGAGCTTGGCAGGGAGCAAGTGAGGCCTTTCTGGTTGGCTGTTTTGGAGACACCAATCTCTATGTATCATGCATATGCCAAAAGATACTCAGCTAGCTTGCCGCATACGTGGGGAATGTGCTCAAGAATCCACTGTGATGGGAAACATTTCACTCTTAAAAAACAAAACAAAACAACTCTTCTTCCTATTCATAGTTTAAAATCATTTATTGGGTGTTCATATAACTCTTATCACAATCCATACATACATCAATTGTATAAAGCACATTTGTACATTCGTTACTCTCATCATTCTCAAAACATTTGCTCTCCACCTAAGCCCCTGGCATCAGCTCCTCATTTTTCCCTCTCCCTCCTGCCTCGCCCCTCCCTCATGAACCCTTGATAATTTATAAATTATTATTTTGTCATATCTTACACTGTCCGATGTCTCCCTTCACCCACTTTTCTGTTGTCCACCCCCCAGGGAAGGGGTTATATGTAGATCTCTATGATCGGTTCCCCCTTTCTACCCTCTCACCCCCCTAATGATAGTTCTTAACGTTAGATTTTTTTTTCCTCTTAAGGGGTCAAAAGGTACCTAACTAAGTATAGGATTGTGAATGGAAAAATAGGGGGCAGAAATTAAGTATTGGCAGTTTTTTTCATTTTCATTTTTGGGAGAATTTTTTAATATAAACTTAGGGTCATAGTATTAACACAAGTCAAAATGTTTCAGTGAACACATTTCAGCAATTCAACTTTATAACAATATTAATAAAACTTGAAAAAATTTCTGGACAATGTCAGCATTTGGATTAAAAAAACAAACCCCAAAGGAAGTAAATTTCTTACTGATGGCAACTAAATGATGTTTGTAGCATTTTTATAATGCAGTAGACTCCATCCATTTACTATACTTTCCTAACTAAGTTGCCTTATATGCAAGCACATGTTTTTATGGTTGTCTGTGTCTGTACTGGTCCTGTAAGCATGCTATCAAAACACATTAAACTTTGGGGGAAAAAGGGAAACCACACAAGACTAATGAGAATGTGCCTATTTCCAATACTCGAGAGGTCTTGCAATCATAGTCCACTGATCTTTTGATTGTTTTAGCAAGATTTCTATTTAAGCTGTGTTAGTCTGGATAGACTAGAGAAACAAATCCCGGAGACTCATATATGTGTAAGAGAGAACTTTATATCAAAGAGCAATTGCATAGTAAGAAAACATTGCAGGCCAGTTAAGATCAAGTCCATAAGTCCAATATTAACTCATATGTCTGATACCAGTCTATTAATTCCTCTTCAGACTTACACAACTCATGCAATGATGCTGAATTCAGGAAGATCACAGGCCAGTGGATGGGAAGTCTTGTGGATCCAGAGACAGGGGAAGCATCTCAGCACTAGTGTGGGTCTCCACGTGGCTCCTCCAGCTCCAGGGCTCTGGCTCCATCAATGTGGCTTGTCAATAGTAATGTGAAGCAGAGAGTATGTGTCCCACCCCCAGGGAGGAAGACAGGAGTTCACAGAATCCTAGGAGAAGGCCATGCCCTCACAGAGGCCTCATTGGTTATAACCTCATTGACATGCTAGACTCCACCCCTTTGCTCAAGTTGACAGGAGATTATGTAACCGCCACATAAGCTTTGAAAACCTTTGCGTACATACTGCTCTTTGATAAGGTTTGCATGTTGTGACTTAGTCATCAACCAATCAAAAATTTTTGTTTGGCACTCCTGCCATCTAGTGGATTCTGACTCAGCAATGGAGGGCAGAGGAGAACTGCCTCTGTGAGTTTTTGAGGCTGTAAATCTTTATGGGATCAGAGAGCCTCATCTTTTTCCTGCAGAGTTAATGGTGGGTTCAAACTGCTGACCTGGCAGTTAGCAGCTCAATATGTAACCCACTACACCACCAGGGCTTCTTTTCTTTGTCCATGGTTCTTGATAAAATTATAAAATATACCACTTCAAAATTGTAGTTGACTGGAACACTGATTTACTAGGTAATGATGCACTACTTTTAAAGTTGTCTCTTGAGCCTGCATAAACTCCAACAGACTCATGGTCATGGAGTCGACTCTGACTCATAGAGACCCCGTAGGACAGAGGAGCACTGCCCTGCTAGGTTCAGAGACTGTAACTCTTCATGGGAGTAGGAAGCCTTGCATTTTCTCCCCAAGCCTGCATAGCCAGCTGCTAATGGTGTTCTGACTTGTTTATTTTTGAGATTGCCATGATTTTACTAAGAACATCTGTAAATTCTTAAGGGTAGCTGAGTAAATATAAATACAGACACCCAAATCTGGAGGCAGCTGGCACATTCAAATTCTATTTTGATTTCAGTTTTTACCAATAATCTACTTAAGTCCATATACTAAGAACTGCACAGGTTATGAGAAAAAGAGAAACATGTCCTCTGCCTTGAGGGAGCTGAAAATCTAATTTTGAAAATTTTATTCACTGTGTATGAATCAGAAAACAATAGATGGCTGATAAATAATGAAGCCATTCTTCCTGCCATTGAGTCGATTCTGACTCGGAGTGACCTTATAGGGCAGGGTAGAACTGCCTCTGTAGATTTCCAAGACTGTAATTCCTTAGGGAAGTGGAAAGCCTCCTCTGTCTCCCTTGGAGAGGTAAGTGGTTTCGAATGGCTGACCTTGTCATTAGCAGCCCAGTGAGTAACCCACTATACCACCAGGGCTCCTAATGAAGCACTTAGGTGGCGTGAGTTAGGAGGATGACTTGGAGTCCTAAACGGCGGTACCTCTTACCTCCAGGGCAGTGTAGGTCAGAGCTGCACGTGCCGGCATATGTCTGCTGTATTGTTTGAACTGCTGAAGACCATCCTCTACTGCCAGTTTCAGAGAAGTGCTCTGTGGTCTGAAACAATCTTCTGTCTGTACCATGCGTAGTTCTGAGATGCAGGTCTGCAACCTAGCAAAGTTCCCTTTCACTTGCTGCAGAGAAAAAGGAATCAAAGATACAAATTTTCAGTGACCCATGTTTCAGAGTAGCTGGCAGACTAACCTCATTATCAATTACTCCTCAGGAATGCTTTTCCTTCCTGAAGATCTCGTTGACCAATATCTACTTAATGGTTCTACGCACTGAATTAAAACTTCTCCTACATTAGACAAATGAAAATTAGCAGCTCAAAAGAGTTTGATTATGTGGAGTTACTGGAAGCTGGACAGGAAGCTTCCATCCACATAGTCACTCACCCAAAGGAAGGTGCAGTCCGTGACTGCTTAGTATGACTTTGGGTTGGCCTCTAAACTGGTGGCCTCCAGGGTCCCATTCATTTCTCGCTAAGTCAAGGCACTGGGGACTTCGCTCTTCAAGAAGCGTGTTTTCTCAGAAGCAAAGTTTTTGGGTACTCTTGAAATGGAAGAATACTGACTTGCTAATATTGGTATAGTGACTGTATTCTTTCAATCTTTTTTCATTTACTTATTTATTTTATTGAGCTATAATCAACATATCACACAATTCAGTAGTGCAATCATAGCTACAGTCAACTTTGGAACCTTTTCTCCCTTCTTGTATCCATTGATGTTGACTCCTTTTTTCCCCACCTCAATATTCTGTGACCCAAACTACAAAAAAAACAAAAAGCCAAACTCACTGCCATTGAGTCACTGTCCACTCATAAGACAGAGAACTACCTCTGTGGGTTTCTGAGACTGTAACCCTTTCCAGGAGCAGAAAACCTCATTTTTCTCCTACGGAGGGTCTGGTGGCTTCAATCTGCTGACAGTGCTTGGCAGACTAATGCATGACCATAACCACTATACCAATCATTAACCCAGTTACATCTTCACACGTCCACCCATCCTGGTTTCCCTACACAGATAAACATACAAAACAAGGACTTCAGCAACAATGACCATATGAAACAGAGAAAGACTTCAATCGAAGAGAAAGTAGAGAATATGAGAATTTTAGAAGAAATTCACATTGGGTTCAGAGGGTGATTAAATGACAAGGTGTTATATTCCAGCATATGTAATGCTGCTAAAATACACTGTGCACTGCTCTTTGTCTGTTATTAGGGCTGCTAACCTTCCTAGTCTATGGACACTGGGGATTCAGCTTGGACTCAATCCACATAGGATTTGTAAATGGATTTGGGGCTACTATTATCATCCTTAGCTTTTTGCAAACTGGGTCCTTAGAATTTAGGCACTGGTTCTGTTCTCTTCTTTGGATTTGGATCTTACTGTTTACAATCCTGGATCACAAAGCCTGGTGTGCTTCTTCCATATGGACTTGTGACTCCTTACTTAGATGAGTGCTTGTTTTGAGACCAGCCTTTAAACTCCAGACACTATTTTTCATGATAGCCGGCCGGGCACCATCTGGTTTCTTCACCACACTTTGCTGTGGTGCCCACACCTTCAGTGATCTCCTTACGTTGGTGAATACCAGGCAGGGCTATGTCATAAGAACTTTTTTTTCTTATATTAGGGCTATCATCTAAATTCATTCATATGATTATCGTTTCTGTAAGTCCCTGGTTATTATTTTTAGAGACATCATGGTCATCTTATTTTAGTACCTCATAAACCATTTTGATGGGGCTTAATATAATTTTTATTGATAGAAACATTATTTTAGTCAATAAAACACTGTTGAGTAACAAACAATTGAGTAACTGTTATACATGTGTAGGACTTCTTATTAGACATGAATAATTCACTTGTTTATCTTCAAACCGTGGGTGACTAGACACTTATTACACATGCCATAGAGAGTTGGAGATATGGCAATATAAAGGTAGAGAGTTAGTCAAAACAGCAAATATGTGTTAGTCCCATGTCGCCATTCCCTGGGCACCCTCAGAACAACAGGTTTGTAGCCACCCAAACAAAGACCATCGACCACTAAATGCCCTAACCTTGGAATAATGATTGTCTGCTTCTTCTCCCATTAGGGCATTCCAGCCTAACGTTCAAGGGGGTATTTCCTGTTTCATTCCAGAAGGAAAGATTTTGATATGGCTGATCAGGTAACTGATCTCATCTTCTTTTAGTAAAACTTTTTCTTAGGAAGTAATCAAATATAATCTGATTCTAGTTCAATGCTACTTCTCTCAGGGATATATGAGTTTTGAATAAATTTTTGAGATAAATATTTTTGGCATTATTTGTAGGAATTCCAAGTATCAACAGCAGGTGAGGAGTGGGAAAGAATTATATTTTGGGGTGTGGCACCCTTCCTGATGAAGGAACATAACTTAGCAATATTGGCAAAGCACATAAAATGCACGAGTTACAATACTGTCAGGGAACAAAGACTGTTTAAGTCAATACCTGCCCCGCTCAGCTCAATAGCTGCTTACTTTGCTCTTCTCAAATCTCTACAGAAATTACAAGAAATAGGACATAATTTATACACAAGATACACTTGAAATCTAGATGGGAAAATAAAACCACTCCAAAAAAAAAAAAAGAAAAAGAGAGAGATCAAGAGAGAGAGAGAGAGCGAGTGAACGCAAATCGGACCATAAATATAGACAAGTGGCCTTGAAGCATGTCTTTTCATGCTAAAAATATTATGAAAAATTATATATTCTTTTATATGTTTTTAAGTAGATATATAAAGTATTTTTTTCTCCTACGTATGAGTAGTTGCTAAGGTTTTAGCCTCCAACATATTATAAATACCAACATTTTAAAATAAAACTATGACATTATTCTTTAAACAGAATACAATGGAATCTAAATACCATTGTGATTTGATACTGAACATCATTCAATTAAAACAGACATGAGCAAGCTCTTTTCTTTTAATAGCTGACATTTATAGTGATTCTTTTACTCCTTGAACTCAGGTTTCTATTTCATTTTTTCCCCCAAAGAATTTTATCTTTATTCAGTAGAATTTTATGCCTGGCAATATTTTATTGAGCATCCTCTCAGATGTCTCTAGAACAAAAAAACATCTCTAGATTGCTGTGGTAATTACATAATTTCAATGTTAACTTTTAAAAAGAGTGAAGGGGTGGAGTCTAGCCTGTCAATCAGATCACACCTTGATGACCTCATTTGGAGGCTCGATGGAGATAAATGCTCACTGGAGACCAGACACACTCTCCCTGTGAGGCATTCCTGTTGACAAGACAGATGGAGCCATGTGGAGACCCACACCAGCGCTGACATGCTTCCATCACCACTGGATCCACAAGACTTTCCACCCACTGGCCTGTGATTTTCCTGCATTCAGCATCATTTTATGTGTTGCGTGAGTCTGATTGGACACATGGGCTAATATTGGACTTATGAACTTGATCTGAACTAGGCTGGGATGTTTTCTTTTTTTTAAAATCATTTTATTAGGGGCTCATACAATTCATCACAATCCATACACACATCAATTGTGTAAAGCGCATTTGTACATTCATTGCCCTCATCATTCTCAAAACATTTTCTCTCGGCATCAGGTCCTCATTTTTCTCCTCCCTCCCCGCTTCCCCCTGCCTCATGAGCTCTTAATAGTTTATAAATTGTTATTTTGTCATATCTTGCCCTGTCCCACGTCTCCCTTCACCCACTTTTCGGTTATCCGTCCCCCAGGGAGGAGGTCACATATAGTTCCTTGTAATCGGTTCCCTCTTTCCTACCCCCTCTCTCTCTACCCTCCCTGTTTCGCCACTCACACCACTGGTCCTGTAGGGCTCATCCGCCCTGGATTCCCTGTATTTTCAGTTCCTATCTGTACCAGTGTACATCCTCTGGTCTAGCCAGACTTGCAAGGTCGAATTCGAGTCATGGTAGTGGGAGCAGGGAGGAAACATTTAGGAACTAGAGGAAAGTTGTATTTTTCATCGTTGTTGTTACATCACACCCTGACTGGCTCATCTCCTCCCCAAGACCCCTCTGCAAGGGGATCTCCAGTGGCCTACTAATGGGCTTTGGGTCTCCACTCCGCACTCCCTCCATCATTCACGATGGTAAGAGTTTTTATTGTGATGATGCCTGATACCTGATCCCTTCGACACCTCGTGATTGCACAGGCTGATGTGCTTCTTCCATGTGGGCTTTCTTGCTTCTGAGCTAGATGGCCGCTTGTTTACCTTCAAGCTTTTAAGACCCCAGACGCTATATCTTTTGATAGCCGGGCACCATCAGCTTTCTTCACCACATTTGCTTATTCACCTGCTTTATCTTCAGCGGTTGTGTCTGGAAGGTGAGCATCATAGAATGCCAGTTTAATAGAAGAAAGTATACTTGCATTGAGGGGCATCTTCTTTTCTTAAAGGTTTTTAATCTACCCCTGGCAAATACATCAATAGGCCTTCTATCTGATTTTTTTTCATGTCAGGATTTTCATTTTCAAAATTCAAATACTTTATTTTTTTCTGATGCAAAATTGTCTCATTTCAGAAAATTTTAAAGTAAAAAAGTATAGTCATTTGTTGACAAAATTGACAAATACACTTTTATTGTTGGTTCCTCCTAAAACTCTATTCAAAAGAAAGTAGATATACTTTTAATGGCATTGAAACAGTTAGCTTCAGGTTCAGTGTGAGTACTAGAAATTCCAAGGTAGATGCAACTTAAATAACATAGAACTCTACTTCTGCCCAATCTAGTCCTAGCATAGCAACTCCATGATCACTGAAGAACCATGTCCTTGGCTTCTTGCTCTGCCCTCTACCATCTCACTACAATCTTATGGTCCAAGCTGTCTTTGAGTAGCAATCCTGACGGCTGCAGGTCTTGATTTTCATCAGCAAGTACTTCAAATGCTCCTCACGATCACCAAGCAAAGTTGTGTCATCTGCATATTGAAAGCTATTCATAAACCTTTCTCAAATCCTAATAACGCTTCATTCTTATTCATATATTCCAGCTTCTTTGATCATTTGCTCTGCATACAGATGGGAAAAGTAGAGTGAAAAGATACAATCCTGATGTACATTTTCCCTGATTTCAAACCATTAATATTCCCTACT